TTTGCACAAGAAGTGGTTAAACAAAGACTTTTAGTATCAGAGACACGATTTAGCCTTTATTTTTTATCGATTTGAAATATATCATATCGAATCGAAAGTGCACTGTATCGAGGTATGTATCGTATCGTGGGCTGTGTATCGAGGTATGTATCGTATCGGAAACTTCTTTATGGTACCCAGCCCTAGGAGGAACTCTGAAATGCTTTTATTCATGGACATTTTCTTGCTTTAGAATGTTTCACACTATGGCATTAAACCTTTCTAACTCCATGGAGACCAAACCAGACCAAGTGACAGGTCAGATCTGTGGAGAGTCTGTTTTTTTCTAGGTATTTTTGAGCTACAAAACCACCTGTAATTGAATAAATTAGGGCTGGGCAAAAATAAAAAATATTTATTACATTAATCGCGTGAGTTCGAGTGCGATTAATCACATGTTATAGGCGAGTTTCAGCTGACGTCATTGTTATTAAAAGCCCGCGTTGCTGCTGGGAAATATTTTGGTCAGAGGCAAGAAACACGATAGCGTCAAACACAGTGCGTAAATAATGGTAAATTCCTGCTGCATTATCGGACGCACAAATAGAAGCACGGAAGAAGGAAAATGTCTTTTTCGTATTCTGAGTGAAAAGAACCACTAACGGTGAATTAAACGACTTTCAAACATCCGCAGAGCAAACGTAGAAGATCCTAACAAACCGTGGACTCCAACAAGTTCAACAACACATCGAGACTCTTGGAGGTTTTCATCTTTTCTGCTGTGAATGGCCCAGGAGTTTCCACCAAGTCATTGTGGATGTCGCCCAAGTGAATATTTGTCCAGGTAGTTGGCGATTCTGACCAGAAATTTGGTTTGTTCCACCTTTTGTCGGGGTTGAAAAGGGTGATTTGTCGTCCGTCGATGTTTATGACCAATTTCTGGTCAAATGGTCTTGGGTCCTCTGCCGTTAGAGTGGATAAATAACCGGGATCAATACCCTTTACGTGCTTTCTCGCTCCGTCCGTCATGTTGAATTAGTGTTTCTTGCCGCCGACCAAAATAATTCTCAGCATGCAACGCACACTTTTGTCAACAATGAAACTCGCCTATACACAAAACCAATTAATGTATTAAAAAGTAGAGTATAGCGCACTTTTATTGGAAATGTAATTGAAAAAGCCATACATTTGTTGTGCAAACAGCCGTAAAGTCATGGAAATTTCACTTTAGGTCTTGAAAAAGTAATGGAAAAGTTTAGAAATTTTGTCAAAAATAGAAATGTACAAATAAAAAATAAAAAAATAGGGTGTGCTAAAAAAAAAAGTAAAACAATAAAATGAAAAAGGGGGTGTGCAAAAAAAAAAAACAAAAAGCAAACTTAAAAACCTAAAAATAAAAAATAATGTGGGCATGCTAAAAAATTTTTTTAAAAACATAAAAATAAAAAAGGGGCTGTGCTAAAAAAAAATAAAAAATACTTAAACATAAAAATAGAAAATAAAAAAGTGGGCATGCTAAAAACTGACAAAAAAACACAAAAATAAAAAAAGGAGGTGTGCTAAAAAAATTAAAACATAAAAATGAAAAAGGGGGCATGCTAAAAAAATAACTTAAACATAAAAAATAAAAATTAAAAAAGTGGGCATGCTAAAAACTAACTTAAAAACATAAAAGTTAAAAAGGAGGTGTGCTAAAAAAAAATTAAAACATAAAAATGAAAAAGGGTGTATGCAAAAAAAAAAAAAAAAAAAAAACTTAAAAATGTACAAATAAAAAATTTAAAAGTGGCTGTGCTAAAAACTAATGTAAAAACACAAAAATAAAAAAAACTGAGGCATGCTAAAAAAAAAAAAAAAACACACACACAAAAAAAAAAATTAATTAAATTAAATTAAAACCATAAAAATAAAAAATTAAAATGAGGTCATGCTAAAAAATAACATAAAAACATGCGTTGTTATTATGAGTAGACTCCCCTCTCCATAGATGCGACCTGTAACTTGGCCTGATGACGTCGCCTACTTGTCTCCATGGAGATAGGACGACAAAAAAACTTACATAGTCCAAGTTTAACGTAAAAATTTTGCACATTCTGGAGCTGTACTGTAGTCGTCTCTGTCTCTGTTCTAACACGACTTCACCTGCAGGGGGAGCTCACGCAGAAACTAATATTTGTGCACAAAAAACGCACTATGACACGGTGTATTTATATAAAAACAGATTAAACTTGAGAGTCCTGAGTCGACTAAAGTACCGAAGTCTCACGCAGCAGCACTTTCTGTTCTATATTTGTTTCCTCGTGGCAAACGCACCTGGAGTTGTGTTTTGTTTTGTTTGCATGTTTGAGTAGTTCTGCGTTTATATTTATCGTCTCTGAGTCTCCGGAGCTTTAGTCCCCGTCTTTTCAGTCTCTCTTGTATTATTCCATTACATTTTGAATTTTAAATACTTAACTTTGAGTGTTTGAATTTTAGTTGCTGAAATTTTAAGTGTGCTTTTTCAATATGTTTTAAATTCACGATAAAAATTCCACTTTTTTAATCTTCAGCGCAAATATTTTCAGAGGCTGTTTCCTATTGGCTGTTTTCATCTGTGGGCGGGGCTTTGAGGTTTGATGAGGCGAATTCTGACCAATCAGATCGCGCTCCTGTTTGTTACTAAGTTAGATTGGATCATTTTTGGATCGATCGCGTCTGTCTTGGATTTTTGCTGCGAATTTTTCACACTGAGTTTTGGCTGTTGAATTTGAGCGCTGGAAAATATTTGTGCTGAATATTTAAAAGGAGATTTTTTTTATATTGAATTTTAAACACTTTGGAAATGTATAAATGTGTTTTTTTATTTTGACGAGCTGTTGGTTTAACTCAGGGGTGTCCAAACTTTTTTCATCAAGGGTCACATCTCGAAACACAGATGAAGAAGAGGACTGATCGAACTGACTGACTGGTGCTCAGTACAGTGAATAATTGAAATATGTGCATGTTTAACACGTTAGAAAGTCCCATCAGTCTTTATATATAAATATTAAATCTTGGCTTTATCAAGGTAGATTTTCAAAAATTCATTCATTCATTTTTAATACACGCATCAAGAATCTCAGACTTCCGGTCATCGCGCAATTCATACTGGGAAGGATTTTCCGAAAAAGTGAGCATCAAACCACCATGTTTGTTTTTACAGTGGGATGTGTTTATTGTCAAAGTCGATCTTTTCAAGTCTTTTGTACCATATCACTTTTGTTTCTGGTTCTGATATTGTCATATTTTAGTTTTGGGATTCGGACATCGTAATTGTGTGGTTGTTGGATCCTAACAGCGGAAAACGGCTCGAGAAATTGGTTTGCGAACTTCATAAATGCAAAAGTGAATCAGATGTGTGTGACTGCAAACCTCTGTTTAAACTATTTCCCTTCCCATCGTAACTGAAAAATAGTGAAAGGTGAAGGGACGGGCAGGATTGATCCACGGGAAGGACGAAAAAGGTCATCTTTGACCGTCTGAATCATCCCGAGTTTGCAGCGAACATTTGGCATGTGGAGCGACAACAAAGCAAAACCAAAAAGGGGATCACGTACAAGTCGCATTTAATTGGAAATGTGAACGACCTCGAAAAAACATCGGATTTCACAAAAAAATCGGAATTGAGCGTTAAGCCCTGCAGTCCGAACGCAGCCTGATAGCCCGGAAAATACGGTATTTGTTTCTCGACATTGATTTCGCACTATGAATTGTGTGTGTAGTGAGTGTGTTGGTGTTATGTACTTTGACATCATCCACGCTGGCAATAATCTTTACATATTTACATTTACTCTTATGTGCCTATTCAGAATAAAAACAGTTCAATAATGTTTTTTCAGAGTTAAAAAAAAAGCAAAGTCAGAAATTCAGCGGCGTTTTAAATTCGAAATCTGATGAAGCCAAATGATCTTCCGTCGTCTTGGGCCTTTTCTCTGCAGCTCCACCTTCAGTCTCGGTCAGGACAGTGTGTCTTTAATCTTTAGTTTGACCTGTAGACGGTCCAATAATTCAAAATGCTATGACTCGTTTTACATACGACCTAATTATACGTGTTCTGTTCTTCTCTTGATTTATTGCAGCTCATGTTTTTAATAATAATAATATGGTACAGTCAGGTGTTTTAGAAAAGTGTTTTGGGGCATTATCCCGCTTTATTGTTTGGAATTGTCAGAAAAATCTGTTATTTTGACTTTTTTCTTTAGAAATTCAAAGGTGCACTGTGCAACTTTTCTGCTGGAGGGTCCGTCACCTGCTTGTTTCTATGGATACGTCATTCCTCTGCTTTAGAATGTTCCACAGTGTGACATCGAACAGCTCCACTTTACGTTTATTCAATCACAGGTGCGGGTTTTACAGCTCATTCTGTTGGTGAGCGGCGTCGCCTCTCCACAGATCTGACCTGTAACCTTCTAACTTTGGTCTCCGTGAAGATAGAAACGCTTAATGCCGCACGGTGGAACATTTCAGACAAAAAAAATAACAAAGCTTTAGGGACACACTTCGATCGTTTTGACCGGAGAAACAAAATTTACATTGTGGAGTGCGAAAATGAAAACGAAATATGAAAATTCTAGTTTAGAATTTTGATTAATTTGGAAAAGTACGACATATTTGAACGGGTTTAAATAAAGGTTGTGTAAAATAAGATTTGAAATAAAATAATAAAATATAAATATAAATAAAATAATAAAAAATAAAAATATAATAATAATAATAATAATAATAATAATAATAATATAAAAATAATAAATATAAATATATATCATACCTGTAACTTGGTCTGATTTGGTCTCCATGAAGATAGAAAGGTTTAAAGCCATACTGTGAAACATTTCAGACAAAGTACCACCAGAAAAGTTACTTACATTTCATAGTTTTTACCCGACAGTGATAAATAAAATTTTGTTTCAGTCACAAGCCAAAATACAACATAGATCAGAAAATAGCAAATATTAAAATGGGTTCTTTTTAATTAATGTTTCGCTTTATTTTTATCGTTGCAGAAAGCGACAATGAAATCTCCAGCGGAACCGGAGACGTGTCCAAAGATTGTCCCGAGAAGATCCTGGAGTCCTGGGGAACCATCCTGAACAGATGGTAAAGCTAAAATCTCTCTTCTGCCTCAAAAAAACTACAGACTTTTTTATTTTTAGTACAATTCTTACTGGTAAATGTGAAGTTGTTGCAGTCAAAAAAACTTAGAAACAAATCTATTTTTGCTTAGACTGACCGGATTTTCTCAGTTTACGGCAGAGTGAAGTAGTGTCGTAGTACTCGAGACCGGTCTTCTCCAAATTTATGCTACGGTGTAGTTTTGTAGGCAAGACCCACTAATGGAGACCAAGACCAGTCTGAGACCACAGGGTGCAGAGACCGAGACAAGACCGAGACCTCTGTGGGTCAAGACCGAGATAAAAACCGAGACTTCTGATGGTCGAGACCGAGACAAGACCGAGACTTTTAAAGGCTGAGACCGAGACAAGACCGAGACTTCTGAGGACCGAGGAAAAGCCAAGACTTCTGAGGACCCAGGCAAGACTGAGACTCCTGATGGTCGAGACCGAGACAAGACCGAGACTAATATAAAGACCAAGACTTCTGTGGGTTGCGACTGAGGCAAGACCAAAACTTCTGAGGGTCGAGACCGAGACAAGACCAAGACTTCTGAGAGGTTCTGAGACGAGACCGAGCAAGACGAGGCAGAGACTCTGAGGGTCGAGATCGAGGCAAGACCAAAACTTTTGAGGGTCGAGACCGAGGCAAGACCAAGACTTCTGAGGGTCAAGACCGAGACAAGACCGAGACAAGACCGAGACAAAGACCGAGACTTTAAAGGCTGAGACCGAGACCAAGACCGAGACTTCTGAGGACCCAGGCAAGACTGAGACTCCTGATGGTCGAGACCGAGACAAGACCGAGACTAATATAAAGACCAAGACTTCTGTGGGTCGGGCCTGAAATAAAAACCAAGATTTTTCAAGGCCGAGACCGAGGCAAGACGAGGACTTCTGAGGGTCGAGACCGAGGCAAGACCAAGACTTCTGAGAGACTTTTCAAGGCCGAGACTGAGACAAGATGGAGACTTCTGAGGGTCAAGACCGAGACAAGACCGAGACTTTTAAAGGCTGAGACCGAGACAAGACCGAGACTTCTGAGGACCGAGGAAAGGCCAAGACTTCTGAGGACCCAGGCAAGACTGAGACTCCTGATGGTCGAGACCGAGACAAGACCGAGACTAATATAAAGACCAAGACTTCTGTGGGTCGGGCCTGAAATAAAAACCAAGATTTTTCAAGGCCGAGACCGAGGCAAGACGAGGACTTCTGAGGGTCGAGACCGAGGCAAGACCAAGACTTCTGAGGACCGAGGCAGAGACAAGACAGAGACTTTTCAAGGCCGAGACTGAGGCAAGACCAAAACTTCTGAGGGTCGAGACCGAGGCAAGACCAAGACTTCTGAGGGTCGAGACCGAGGCAAGACCAAAACTTCTGAGGGTCGAGACCGAGGCAAGACCAAACCTTTGAGGGTCGAGACCGAGGCAAGACCAAGACTTCTGAGGGTCGAGACCGAGGCAAGACCAAGACTTCTGAGGGTCGAGACTGAGACAAGACCAAGACTTCTGAGGGTCGAGACCGAGGCAAGACCAAGACTTCTGAGGATCGAGACCGAGGCAAGACCAAAACTTCTGAGGGTCGAGACCGAGGCAAGACCAAGACTTCTGAGGGTCGAGACCGAGGCAAGACCAAGACTTCTGAGGGTCGAGACCGAGGCAAGACCAAAACCTTTGAGGGTCGAGACCGAGGCAAGACCAAGACTTCTGAGGGTCGAGACCGAGGCAAGACCAAGAGGTCGAGACCGAGGCAAGACCAAAACTTCTGAGGGTCGAGACCGAGCAAGACCAAAAACCTTTGAGGGTCGAGAGACCGAGGCAAGACCAAGACTTCTGAGGGTCGAGACTGAGGCAAGACCAAGACTTCTGAGGGTCGAGACTGAGACAAGACCTAGACTTCTGAAGACCGAGGAAAGACCAAGACTTCTGAGGACCCAGGTAAGACCAAGACTTTTGTGGACTGAGACAAGATCTAAACTTCTGAGGGTCAAGACCGAGACAAGACCGAGACTTTTAAAGACTGAGGCCGAGACAAGACCGAGATCACGGCCCGATGAGACCAAATCGAGACCATTTTCATGCATTTTACAGTTTTTTTTTGTCTCATATGTATCAATTTTTTCATAGATCTGTCTCCATTTTATCTGATTAATGTTAATTTAGATTTAAAATTAACCAAACAAACTGTACTACACTTAAATGCGCCTTTTTTGGACCCCACCCACAGTTTGACAACCCCTTCTATAAGAGAACTTCCACTGGAACTTTAAAGAAAACTTCTTCAAAATGAAGAAACACTGTGGGTCAGGATCTCGGAAAGTGGCGCAGAGTATTTAATTGGAGTACAGTTTGCTTATTTTCTTATTTTAAGCTTAAATTAACATTACTCAGATCAAATGGAGACAGATTTATAAAAACATAGATATATTTCTACCAAAATAACTGTAAAATACAAATAAATGTACAAAATGCCAAAGATGTTTTGTTTTGGTCTCGACCTTTAAATGTTTTGGTCTTGTCTCGGTCTCGACCCTCTGAGGTCTCGGTCCGGTCCTGGTCTCGGGTGCCTGTGGTCTCGGACTGGTCTTAGTCTGGGTTTTGATTAGTGCGCTCTTGACTACAGCACCAGAGTGACGTGTAATTTAAACATCTCTCTGTAGTTCTAACATAGAACTCGCTCATTTGCTCATGGGCCCAAAAATAATTTTCTCTTCCACACTTACTTCCTCAATCCAGGCGAAGCTCCTCCCACCGTGTGACGTTTGTAATGTGCACGGCGAGGAGCGTTTGGACCAATCAGAGCGACCGCTGCTAGAGCAGAGAGAGCGCGGGCATGTATTACGCCAAATCCTGTAGGAAGAAGGACAATAACGTCTTTAAAAATAATAAAATTCACCAAACATTCTCATGTCGGTAATCGTTGCCAACACAGAACGTCTGTCTTTGTCTACATCAGGGCTGCCCAATACATCGATCCTGATCTACCAGTCGATCGCCGAGGTCGTGTGGGTAGATCGCCGTGTCTCGTCTCGGACTTGATCGCGTTTGGACTCGGTCTTGTCTCTCACTCGAGGTCTGACACTCGACAAGTGTGATCATATTTCATTCCGGCCGCTGCTGTTGGTAATAAACTTGTAGCGGGTGCAGGAGCGTGTGGGGCGTCTCAGTGCAGCCTGTGCGCTCATTTGAAACCCGCGGAGACTCTACGGCGCATCACAAACACACACGCTCCCTATGCACGGCTCGTCTGCGACAGCGTGTGCCCTCGTGTACCAGCGTGCATCACAGGGCAGGTTCAACTTCCTAAACATCCTACCTGTCCATCTGCCTCACGTCAGCACGCCGCCCCTCGCCTTTTCACGCTCTCGCTCCTTCCTGCGTACAGCGAACACAAGCCCCTCCCACAGTGCGGCTGATTAGAAGAGCAAGACCAAACGTGAAGCAAAAACCAGTCTAAATTTGTGTTCCAGTATGAACTTTAAAAAACAGGTTTAAAAATCTTCCTTCACTTTTTTCACAGTTTTGTGTAAAGTGCCAGAGGAAGTTCTCTTAAAGAAGAGGTTCTCAAACTGTGGGGGAGGGTCCAAAAAAGGGGCACAGAGTGTTTCAGTGCAGTTTGTTTGTCTTTGTATTAGGTCGATCAGAATGACTTGGTCATTTTGTAAGTAGCTCACATGCTGAAAAAGTGTGAGCACCTCTGGTTTACATCCATCTTGACGCTTTGTTTACTGTTGTGTTGTTCCACAAAAGGGACCCAGACAGACGCCGTGGCTTCACAGCTCTTTGCTGATTGGCCGGGGCGCAGTCTAAAACTTACGGGGTCCTTGCAAACCGTCTGGTGCAGGAGTGTCAAACCGACCCTGATCCCAAAGGGGCCGGATCAGAAAACTCAGTGTGACTTATATACGTTCTTTTTTCTTCTTCATTATGCATTTTTTGTCCGGTGTGACTTATACTCCGGAAAATACAATACCTAACATTTTCTTATCACGTTTTTATCACGTTTAGTTTTCCCCCAGAGAATAAATTGAAACAGCAGCACTTTCAGACCAAAACAAACCACTGTGCGCCCGTGAGTCTGTATTTAATTTTAACATTTTATTGTGTTCCTCGCCAGAAACTAAAGAAATGCCTCCTGTCAGTTGAAACTTTAGCTCGATTTCATTTAATTTAGTTGTGAATTTATTAGAAAAACACTTGGAAAACACTGTAACACTTTATATAGACCAATATGATTTAATACAATGTTTATAGTTCAGCTGCAGATATAAATGGATTAAACCAGGACTAAAACCAGGACTAAACCAGGACTAAACCAGGACTAAAACCAAGACTAAACCAGGACTAAAACCAGGACTAAAACCAGGACTAAAACCAGGACTAAACCAGGACTAAAAACAGGACTAAAACCAGGACTAAAACCAGGACTAAAACCAGACTAAACCAGACTAAACCAGGACTAAACAGGACTAAACCAGGACTAAACCAGGACTAAACCAGGACTAAAACCAGGACTAAAACCAGGACTAAAACCAGGACTAAAAACCAGGACTAAACTAAAACAGGACTAAAAGGACTAAAACCAGGACTAAACTAAAACAGGACTAAAACCAGGACTAAACCAGGACTAAAACCAGGACTAAACCAGGACTAAAACCAGGACTAAACCAGGACTAAACCAGGACTAAACCAGGACTAAACCAGGACTAAACCAGGACTAAAACCAGGACTAAACCAGGACTAAACCAGGACTAAAACCAGGACTAAAACCAGGACTAAAACCAGGACTAAACCAGGACTAAAACCAGGACTAAACCAGGACTAAAACCAGGACTAAACCAGGACTAAACCAGGACTAAAACCAGGACTAAACCAGGGGACTAAACCAGGAAAAAACCAGGACTAAACCAGGACTAAAACCAGGACTAAAACCAGGAAACCAGGACTAAACCAGGACTAAACCAGGACTAAAACCAGGACTAAACCAGGAC